TTGAATTGCTGTCCAAAATGATGTATCACTGCGCCGTGATGTTCAGTAAAAGTGAAATCGACAGCAAAGAATTATATTTATCTATTTGTGCATGTAAGAGGGATTGGGTGATAAATAAAATCTCCTACTCGTCTTTTTTGTTATCAAAAAATATCAACACTCGTTGATAAAGTAAAAAAAAAACCCTTGAATTTGATTGGTCAGTTGAAAAGGAACTACTTTTTTTTATTTTCAAAGAACAGTTGATTTCTTATGAAAAGTAACTTCTTTTTTTTTTTATTAAAAATGAACTATTGTTATTCAATTGACCTTGATGGAAACACTGGGTCAATATAAAGGATTTTGCAATGGTTGAATTGCTGTCAAAAATGATGTATCACTACGCCGTAATGTTCAGTAAAAGTGAAATCTACAGCAAAGAATTATATTTATCTATTTGTGCATGTAGGAGGGATTGAGTGATAAATAAAATCTCCTACTCGTCTTTTTTGATATCAAACAATATCAACACTCGTTGATAAAGTAAAAAGAACCCGACAGAGCCTCGTTTTTATACGCCCACATGGAAATTTGGTCGTATATTGCCGTCGCCCCCGTCCGTCCGTCGTCCGTCCGTCCGTCCGGCGTCCACAATTGCTTGTGGACGCCTAGAGGCTTAAGTTAATATCCGATTGACTTTAAATTTATACACAGTATTTAAGGTCATGAGACGAAGAAGCCTATTGATTTTCATCGATTTCCGACAATTACTGCCAGAGTTATGGCCCTTGGTCACTTCAAAAAATCTTGTGGAAGCTCTAGAAGTCAAAGTTAATATCCGATTGACTTTAAATTCATACACAGTGTTTAAGGTTATGAGACGAAGAAGCCTATTGATTTTCAACGATTTTCAATAATTACTGCCTGAGTTATGGCCCTTGATCACTTCAGAAAATCTTGTGGACGCTCTAGAGGTCAAAGTTAATATCCGATTGACTTTAAATTTATACACAGTGTTTAAGGTCATGAGACGAAGAATCCTATTGATTTCCGATAATTACTGCCAGAGTTTTGGCCCTTGATCAATTTGAAAAATCTTGTGGACGCTCTAGAGGCTAAAGTTAATCGATTGACTTTAAATTTATACACAGTGTTTGAGGCCATGGGATGAAGAATAATATTGATTTTCAACGATTTCGGATAATTGCTGCTAGACTTATGGCCCTTGATCACTTTGAAAAATCTTGTGACGCCCTAGAGGCTAAAGTTATCATCCGATTGGCCTTAAATTTATACACAGAGTTTAAGGTCTTGAGACGAACAAGTATATTGATTTTCAATGAATCTTTATGACTTGAACAGCTTAATCCATGCCCATGGCGTTAAAAGTTTCGTATACTAAACGTTAGCATGGGGCAGAACTTTATAAAAACCAAACAAATTCTAATGGTTTTCTGATAATTACTTCGTGAGTTGTTGCTCTTAAACAAATTTTAATGTATTATAACTGTTTCATTACCGAAAAAAGTAAAAATATGCGAAAAAAAACCCCTCTTGTTGACTGCCCTTACGATATAACTGCTGTGGCCATATATTTCGTTGCCTGGCAACCTATCTTTTACATCTAGAATTATGGTCCTTGTTTCACTTTATTGAACCGTGTGAATGCTCTAACGCCAAAAGTTATCATCCGATTTTTGTGAAATTTTTATGCATTATTTAAATTAGTAACACGAAGAAGCCTGTTGAATTTCAGCAACTTCCGTTAATTACTTCTGGAGTTATGGCCCTTGTTTCACTTTGTTGAGCCTTGTGAACGCTCTGACACCAAAAGTGATTACCCGATCGTTGTGAAATTTATATGCATTATTTGAATTAGTGAAACGAAGAAGCCTATTGAATTTCGGCAATTTCCGTATATTACGTCTAGAGATATGCCCCCTGTTTCATTTTGCTGAACCTTGTGAATGCTCTAACGCCAAAAGTTATTATCCGATCGTTGTGAAATTTATATGCATCATTTAAATTAGTGAAACGAAGAATCCTATTGGATTTCAGCAATTTCCTTCAATTACTTCTAGAGTTATGTTCCTTGTTTCACCTTGTGAACACTCTAACATCAAAACATATCTGCCGATCTGTAGAAATTTATATGCATCATTTAAATTAGTAAAAAGAAAAATCCTATTGAATTTCAGCAATTTCCGTTTATTATTTCTAGAGTTATGGCCATTGTTTCACTTTGTTGCATCTCGTGAATACTCTAACTTCTAAAATTAGTAAAAGAAGAATCTTATTGAATTTCAGCAAATTTAGTTTATTACGTCTAGAGTTATGGCCCTTGTTTCACTTTATTGAATCTTGTGAACGCTCTAACGCAAAAAGTTATCATCCGATCTGTATGAAATTGATATACATCATTTAAATTAGTGAAACCACGGAACCTATTGAATTTCAGCCATTTACAATAATTACTTCTAGAGCTATGGCCCTTGTTTCACTTAGTTCAACCTTGTTAATGCTCGATTGATGAAAGTTATCATCCGATATATATGAAATTTATATGCATCATTTAAATTAGTGAAACCACGAAACCTATTGAATTTCAGCCATTTACAATAATTACTTCTAGAGCTATGGCCCTTGTTTCACTTAGTTCAACCTTGTTAATGCTCTATTGATGAAAGTTATCATCCGATATGTATGAAATTTATATGCATCATTTAAATTTGTGAAACCGGGGTCTATTAAATTTCAGCAATTTCCGTCAATTATGGCCTTTGTTTTACTTTGTTTAAAATATGCGACAACCCTTTTCGACCGCACGGACAATATAGCTGCTGTGGGCGTATGTTTCGTTGCCTGGCAACCTATATTTCAATGATTTTTGATAACTTGAACAGCTAAATCCATGATATTAAATGTTTTGTATGTTAAACGTTACCATGGGCCAAACAAATTCTAATGACTTTCTGATAATTACTTAATGAGTTTTTACTCTTAAAATTATGCAACAACTCTTGTTGACTGCCCGGAAGATTTAGCTGCTGTGGCGTATGTTTCGTTGACTGAGAACGTATCTTTTGATATTGTGCAGAAAACGTGTAAAGCTATTTTTGTAATGAAAAGTGATTGCAAGTTCACGTCGGCTACAAGGTGAGATTCAAGGTTAAAATAAAGATCACAGGGACACCCTTTTTAAAACACACATGTTAAAAATAATTGTCAATTGGGAATCCGAGTGGAATTGCCTTTCCAGCAATACCCATTTCAGCAATCGGTAACTGCGATATGGTCAATTGAATATTGGCGGCCACGCCCATTTAGATCAAAATCTTTGAGATTAAATGGGTCATATCCCCGGAACCGTAAGTTCGATCAAGTTAAATTTTGGAATATTAGTTGTATTATAAAGCTTATTATAAGCCAAATTTCAGCAAAATCGAAACGGGTACTGTTTACATAACGATGTCTCGTTTCGTACGCTAGTCAGGGCTCGTTATGTTCTTCTTCAAAATTGAACATAAGCATTTTGCGCCAAGGCTAAGCAGTGATACGCAATTTGATTAATCGATGCTTTGTATCAGATTTCTATATAAATGAGATTGGTGTAATTTTGCGCATTGTTAAATAACATCAGTTTAAAGTAGCTAAGTCTCTAACTCAATATCACCCAAATCCTTAAAGGAGGCAAGTCATGTCAAACGGTGACGCCATATTCTTATCTGGAGATACTATCGGTGAAGACTGGAATAACCAGACGCTAGAGATTGTCATTCGATTGAGACTTCTGGTATATTTCGCCAAACACAACTGATTTGAAACTAGATTAAAAACGGAAACGATTGAATGTAAATCAGTTTATATACATTCATATTGCATATTTATTTGTGTCAATTTCTAGGTCCAGAATATTAGCGATTTAGCTCCTTTACGTTCAATAATGAGAATGTTTTACTCTGGTTAAGCAGCAATAAGCAATTTGATTTGTTGATGCTCTGAAGTACGATAATGGGCATTGTCTACTCTAGCTAAGCAATATGATTGCTCGATGCTTTATAAAAGATAAATGTGCAAGTAATTATAGTGATTGACATCTAATTATTTTGGGGTTGAGGCGGAGGGACCAGCTTCACTGTTTGCGTGTTCATTTCTAATCTTTTAAATATACAACACAATGTGTTAGCTATGTAAACTCCCTTAATGAGAATTTGTATCACCTGTTTTATGACATGCTCTTGCATGACACCCGCTACTAATTTTAAACTTAACTGGGCTATCTGTCGTTATTAACCGTGGTTCTCCCAGATCATTCTAATAGTGACCCTTAAACCAAACTGCTGTCCCGGACAGCCATGAATGATAAGAGTGTAGGCGGTGGGATGTTGCCCGAATCATGGAGCAATTGTGTCGCCATATTCTTCTCATGCTCCTCGCAGTGTTTGGTTTGATTAGGCCTAACCCCGCTTAACACTGATGTAAAGGAAGCAAATATCTGTTCCAAATTATGACTGGTCAATATTCCGATTAACAACCAATAGCTAACTGCGTAACAATATCATTACACTTTAAACAGAGCTCCAAATTGGACCAAATATGGTTACATAACGTTATCGCAGAAAAACTAATTGCGTGACAAACGAGGCTATCAAAACGAATACAATGTAAACAATACTGTTTGGAGACTAACAATAGTTTCGCCGTTTTTAATACCTTAAATCACTGTCCAATGTTTTAGGGAAGACCCCAGATTAAACGAAGGGCTGTCATGCTGCTGTACTTGGGATAGATTTGATTGAACGGGAAGAATAGACACACTCCCTTAAAAGCCCAAATATCTGAAGCAAGTCTAGAAATGGCCATTGCTTCGGGAGTATGTATTCTTCATAGTAATCCAATCTTAGCCAATTGGATCTTGGGATATGGCAAGTAAAGATCGTCATCATCGTTTGATATTTGTTTTCGTTATTCTTCTCACGCAAGGGTTTATCTTTCATCCATTAGATCTTATTTCATTCCAGATAAAGAAAATGGCAGAAAAAAGTGAACAACCACCACCTTATGAATATCAACCACCGCCAGAAGGTGTAGTCCAGTATCCACCAAATTATACACAACCCACACCAGGACAGCCTGTAACACAACGTAAGTTATTTCAACAAAATATTAGCACAACCGTAAAGCTGCACTACTTTGTTACAGGGTAAACGACGAAAAAATAAAAGGTATGCTGACACAAACTGATTTCAACACTGGTTTAATAACATTTTAACTTGTTAAAGTACTTTTCGCTCATTAGGGGAGCCTCCTCAGAAATTATGTCATTGTATAGAGATGGACTAAATACAACAATTTATACATATTTACGTAGTAACACTGTGGTTTTAATTATCTATAGTTACAATTGTCTGTGGTTACATAGTACATGGGTAGCTAACAGAGAACAGATATGTTAATCTGTTGTAATAGGTATAATTCAGTAAGAATGAGTAGGGAAAATAATCTCGGGATAGATTAAAATAATTAATGGGCCATTGATACTTATTGACTATTAAAGCTGAACTCCGATTACAAAACTACAGAAATAATTAAATAAAAAATAGAACAACAGTTTTATTGCTGCCTTAGATACATTTTTGAACGATAACACTAGACTTTATGATGCAGAAAAATATTTGGTCTTTCTACGTTGTTGTGCAAAACATTTCACGAAATACGAAGAATTGGTTGGCGTTGCTAGACGTGTTATTGTTTGGAGTAAGACAGCTTTTCTCTTATTTTTAGAGCAAAAGTACATCGTGGTTGACTTATTCCATCTAATTAGTAAAATAATATGTACCTAATCAGACATAATAATTGTGTAGCAATGATATTTCTGGACTATCCCATTTCATTTCATTCCAAATAGAGAATAAATACATTGTCTAAGCTCATAAGACGAAAAAGCCTATTGATTTTCAGCGATTTCCAATATTTGCTGCCAGAGTTATGGCCCTTGATCACTTTGAAAAATCTTGTGGACGCTCTAGAGGCCAAAGTTAATATCCGATTGACTTTCAATTTATACACAGTGTTTAAGGTCATGAGACGAAGATTCCTATTGATTTTCAACGATTTCCGATAATTACTGCCAAAGTTATGGCCCTTGATCTTGTGACGCTCTAAAGGCTAAAGTTATCATCCGATTGACTTCAGATTGATACACAGAGTTTAAGATCTTGAGACGAACATGTATATTGATTTTTAATGAATTTTTATGACTTGAACAGTTAAATCCATGATATTAAAAGCTGTGCATACAAAACGTTAGCATGGGGCAGAACTTTATAAAAACCAAACAAATTCTAATAGTTTTCTTATAATTACTTCGTGAGTTGTTGCTCTTAATCAGATTTTAGTGTATTATAAATGTTTCATTACCGAAAAAAGTAAAAATATGTGACAACCCTTGTTGACTGCCCGGACGATTTAGCTGCCGTGGGCGTATGTTTCGTTGCCTGGCAACCTATCTTTTGCAATATCGACCCATTGTCCGTGAAGATGGTGGTAAGGAAATTTTTAGAAGCGCAAAGATGGCGGATAATTGGTATGCATTCGACGGGAATGTTCTTTAAAGCTATAAGCCGACAACTGCTCTACCAGCACACAGTCATGGGCCATCTGGGTCGGAAACATGGAAAAACTAATAATGCTATAAAGGACCGGCCACGTTCCGGACAACCTAACGTGAAGTCACAACGCGAATACAGGGCCCTAATTTGCCTAATAGCGCGTCAGCCATTGCTATGAGTTCCCCGCCTCAAGCCTCAATGTTGAGAAACCACCCAAAAGCAGCAGGTCTTACCCCCAGAAGTCTCAGCAAAGGCCCCTTATTGAACGATGCCCATCCGGGAATACGCCTGGCATTGGGTTGGAATCTGGGGTCGTGGCTGAGCATACATTTGTCGGATGAAAGCAGATTTCTGTCTGCTCCATTTCACGGATGGACGAATTAGTGTGTGCAGGAACAGAATAGCGACTTAAACAGTTAGGAATATCAGCCTAATTGTTTCGCACGGTGGAGATTCAGTGTGCGTAAGTGTCTCACACGGTTGAAAGTTGTACATGTTCACCATACCAGGAAATCTTAAGTCAATCATTACACTCACAAGCTCATGTAATTTATTGTTACCACCCATTTTGACAACCTTTTATTTGTGATCGAAAAAGGCGTGGGGGGGGGGGGGGTCATTTATTCTCTCAAACCCATAAAAGAACAGGCTTAAACACTGCCCTCTCCCTCGCACCCCTCATTTCTGGGGACGGTTACGTTGGTCGTATCGAATGTCTAAGCACTTAGTTCGATTCAGCATAATATTAAAACCCATAAATACACGACTCCTGCCAGAGGGGAACATCTTTACTAGTATGTGACACATATCTTTCCCACTAATACCCATTACCCAATCCAGGTGACGACCATAATACATTTTGTTTAAATGGCAGGAGCAATACATTTTGAATACGTCCATAGTCTTTAGAATCGATCCATATACGTATGTGGTTTTTTTTTGCAGACGTGATTGTACAAGAGGTACCGGTGGTGGGAATTACTCCTAGACCAGGTTCTGTTGGACGTTACCAACAATCACCAGAACTTATTATATGTCAACACTGTAATGCCACAGTGACAACATCTGTTAGTTATGAGACAGGAATGTTAACCTGGGCGGCTTCCGGTATCCTGTGTTTGGTAGGGTAAGTTGATGATAATTGCAAAAAGACATGCTTGGAAACTGTATCCAATTATTTATATAAATATGCTATTGGGAATGCAGTATTCCTATTAATGCTATTCCCCAGGGCCTTGTTCCTATAACTAACCTGTCGATCCAAAAGGGCTTGGAAAAGAAATTCAAAGACAACCAAACCAAATTAACAAAATATTATGTGGACAAAGGTAGGATGAATACGAAAATAGACTTTGGCTAGGAACCATGTACATGTCCCAATTTTAATTTGTTGGTAAGCGAACATATTAGATCTACGAAAACAATCGTCCGCTATGGTTTATAATAATGAGCATGGTAATTCTCGTTACCATTGCTCCGATAATATGATATACCATTTGAATTGTAATTCATCGAATCTATAGCAAGTCATCAAAACCAGTATCTTGTATGATTAGTACCTTGACTTAAACTAGTGTCAAAGCGACCAAATCTTGAGATTTTCAAACATTAACCCAAAAGGTTTGTGCATCACTGGGATGTAGTTAGGTTTGGTGGTGGGGTTTTCGTCTATTGAAGTAATGAAATAAAATGGGGTTTAACGTCCTACTTTTCTGAACCAACTGGGCTAATGAAGACGGTCTGTATTGAAGTACGGAACACATACACTTACTCCAACTAATTGTAAAATCGTTTAAATCCTGTTCTAACGAGAGACTATTAAAATGGGTTCGTCAAACTGTCTGTTGTCTGCCATATCACTACAGTGAAAAGCAAGCGTTAAACCAGCTACTACTCTACCGTCTATCTGTCCGTCGTAATTGTTCAAACTTGGTGTAAATGGTGAATGTCTTGAACTAGCAAAATGAGGAGAGTTTCCTCTTAGGCCAAGCAGAGATAAGCAGTTGTGGAACGATAACGTGAATTACAGTGGGTTGGGTGAACTTTGGGTGTATATAGTTTTGTCACTTATTTACCGTGACCCAATTCGATAATGAGCAGTGTATACCCAGTTAAGGCAAATTGGTGGCTTGGTGCGTTATGGGATAAAAAGAAATTAATGAGTGCCCTCTATTTATTTTGGATTAAAGGCCTCGCTCTTTAATTAGTTTATGTTATATATACTCTTCAAAAAAGTAGGGGATGTTGAAATGCAGAAACCTATGCAGGTTGCGATATGATAAATAGCCATGGACATTTGACATGCTTTGGGAGTATGTTCACAGATGAAGAACTTGTCGCCCCAACAGAACCACTGAGCTGCAAATGCGACACGCAATAGCGCCATACAGGTGGGAGGGGTTCATTGTCAAATTTGATACTTCAAGGAATGGTTGATGAAAACTGCCGCGTGCTGGTTTATCTATCCATGTTTGCTTTCCTATCGGTTCTTGCATAATAATATTTACTGTTTTGCGCACCTTTGCTTTAGTGTGCTATGTTTAATTTGATCGGGAGACGTGTTCGTCGAGGTCAACGTCAACACTGCAAGAATTGGCCGTGGCACTGCAAGAGGAGTGGGTCAGATTGCCCCAAAGCGTGATTGGACGGTTGATTAGGAGCATACCACGACGAATTGCTGGATGTCTGGGGATTGGTGGAGCAATTACTCATTATTAAGACAAAAATCAAAAACGTCCATTTTCACTTTTGACAGTGTATCTCTCTGCGAGTGAAATGGCGCCGCCAGATAAGGTGCCCATATGAACTGTTTATGTTCATGTGTAGGCAATTGGCCGGTTATTAACATACACTGATTACCTCTTATAAAAACAGCAGTGCATTTCCGCAGTTTTGTATTGTTTCTGAATATCCCCTACTTTTTTGAAGAGTATATTATTCCACCCTCAGAAAGGATTGGAAATTAATATTAATTCTTAGCAAGTAAAAAGGTGGACATACATAATATATTATATAGTACATAATACTAATAAAAATGGACAAGCATATAGTAGATACAAAACCAAATCATTTATACTAAACATAAACAAAAAGAACAATTTGTTTCGAATTGTATTCATTGTTAATTCTGCTTGGTTTTTCAGGTGTTGGTTCGGCTGCTGTTTAATACCATTCTGTGTAAATGCCAGTAAAGATGTCATTCACACGTGTCCAAACTGTAAACAACTGAATGGAAAATTCAGACATTTTAGTTAGAATAGTTTTGTTATTATGAAGAATCATTACAAGCATTTTACCATACCTCTTATAACTTCGTTGGAAACAAGCATTTTCCTATTTATGAATTAAATATTTATGCAAAAATCTGTTTTCCAATTTGAATTTGGCTGGGTGTATATATTTTGTTTTAGATTACCTTCTGAAATTCAGTTTCATTTTGTGAAGATTTATCATAATATCTTGAAAGATGAAATTAGGAACCCCGGGACATTTTCAACATTTAGGGATTCATTGATATCCAGGAATTTAAAGTAAAAATTAAAACTGTAATAAGAATGTGCAGAATTTGAATAATGGGGACTTTTTAAGATCAAGTAAGGATTATACTTACAAACTTGTTATTTCCATCTACTGGCAACGCCTCGTGGTTATTTTTTATAAAAGAGAGGTTAGTTGCACTGGAATTACCTCACTTTATGCGCTTTATTTATTGTAAGAATATATACATATTTCGTTGCCCATGATTATTGTATTAGAGAAACCCATAGTGTAAAGTTTCATCATATTGACATATTTTGTGTAAGACTAATGACAGATATTTAAATACAAGTTCATGATGTGTATAATTTAAGCATTTAGAAATATGTCCCCGCAAGGTTAATTGCAAACTGGAGCTTTGGGGTTGCAAAAAAAAGAAAGAAATATAGACTGAAAACGATCAATAATCTGTCAATACACAAACCGCAAGTATGATAGAAGAATGTCGCCGTGTAGCAGCATAACAGTTTTACTCTTCATTGGATTATTTTTAGATCTGGAATTGATGTTTTAATTATACGCGCACATAACCTTCCTTCGTCAACAATTTCTTGTACACACTTGTTCAGATTAGTGAAATAAGGAAGCCTATAAACAATTTCCGTTAATTAGTTCTTGAATTATGACCCTTGCTCACTGTATGTGGTGTACAACCAAAGTAAAACTCGACACAAAACAACTCCATATATAGTTTATTACATTTACCATAATCTACATAAAATAGACAAACAAAATTAAAAACAAATCATAAACCCACAAGATGTGAAATATTGTCAGTATATTCAATAGCACGTTTTACTCCCGTCAACAGTTGATTCTTGGTGCTTATAAATACGGTGTTAAACTCTTCTGTATTTTTGCCTTAGAAATAAATCATACACGAACTTGGGCGTTTGCAATTTTTAAAGATATGTTGTAATTGGAATGATAAATGTCATTATATAGTAATAATGAGTTGCTAATCATATTTGTGATTGATTCATGAGTAAATTTTGAATGCAAGGAAAGTGAATAACATTTAAGATACGCGGTAACCCATGACACATGAACTAGATAACAGTAATAATAATGATAGAGTCTATAATCCTTTGTTTACTTAAGTTTTCACAGCTCTCTGTCATCACACCGTTTTGTTGGAGGGCATTGTGGGTTTCAACCACTTGTACATGTATTAACTACAAAAAGTCATTATCGGATCTTTATGGAACTTTTGGTATCCGAGGACCCTGTTTTTCTTTTTTTTTTAATTTATGCTTTTAACAATTTTCAAATGTAAATAATTTAATTAAACCAACCTGTCCATAATATCATATTCATTGTATTGGACGTTAAATCTGTAATAAACAACAACAACAACCACTATAAATTTATCGTTTCGATTACTGTGATGAATACCAATTGCCAACTTTTCTGATAGCTACTTCTTGATCATAGGATCTTGTCAACATGCCATTGGTATTATACAGATTTTGCTACTTATTTTTGTTTTGTTTTTTTTACTTGAAAATCATAGTGTAACAAATCATACGGACTGCACGGACAACTAAGCTGTCGTGGACATATTTTATTGCCTGGCAACCTATCCTTCAATAGTTTTAATTGATTTGTCAGTCAGTGGATATGCATTTAGACTGTCGTGGAAATAGATCTTTAATTTCCAGATGTGCCTTTATTATTTATTTATGTTTTATCGCTTACATATTATGTAATACGTTTATTAATAAATATTTAATACATCGGTTTGTTAAATATTATGCTGGAGTTGACGTGCTTTTGAGCAACGCCATATACGTAAGTAAGTTTTACTGTGTAATTTTGATATCCATGTAAATAATAATTCAAGTTTCATCCTAACCAAACAAGTAAAATAATATTTACAGTTATGGTCTCTGTGGATTAAAATCAGATATTTTATTATACAGATTTTTTTCGTATAAAATGTAACAGTTCTACTACTTTTTGTCTTAAATAAAATTATGCAGCTACATTTTGCTAACGGGGTGTATATTTTTGATCTTTGGTAGTGCAGGTCAATCGGCGTTTAAAGCGAAAAGATGTAGATATTAAAATTTAATTCAATTGGTATTTTTGCCTTGTATTAATTTTTAAAATTAATTTATTGTATATATACAGATTCAGTCTCTTCTATAGTAGCAAATGCTGATTTAACTTATTCGGAGTATTGAACATATTCTAATTGTATGGCCAAATAAAGTTTGCCCACATTGTACAAGAGCAATATAACGGTTTTAAGGGGAAACAATTGAAAACATGGGACCATTTTATTTTCGAAAATATGTCACTTATAAATGCTTGGAAAATATGAAATAATGTCTAAATAGATTCAAATTAATACAACGTTTCCAGAAAATTAAACCTTTAACAAGGATTAAACCCGAAACGTTGATAAAGCAATCAGGTACTAGTTAGTAGTGACTAATACTTTCTGTATGTTTTTAATGGTCAAATACTTTTATAATAACTGTGTAAATAAATATTTGTAAATTAAACCTTATTTCGAGTCGAGTTGTTTAATACTATATAATAGTCTGAGAAATACGGAAATAACATTTTACCCTCTTCTCAGTACCAAAACTCCTACTGTCGGTTTCGTTTCCCAATATATTTACAAAGATGATTAGATGAACGACCCGGAATCTATTAATGCCCAGTTTGGACAATAATCATGTCATACTGATGAGTTTCTACCTATTGAGCATATAATTGTATACATCCACATTCCATCCGGGGGTATAAATATGGTCGTCACCCGCCTGTTCTTCCAGAATTCCTTTAAACGTTATACGTTGAAATGTTGTCGTATAATGTCCGTCATCCGTGTCCGTCCGTCTGTCCGTCATCCACAATTGCTTGTAGGCGTTCTAGAGGCTAAAATGAATATCCGATTGACGTCAAATATATACACGGGGTGGTCATGAGATAAAGAAGCCTATTGATTTTCACCGATTTCCGATTAACTTTAAATTTATACACAATTGGATGCTCTCAAGACCAAATTAATTTATCATCGGATTGACTTAATATTTATACACAGTGTTTAAATTCGTGAGACGACGAAGTCTATTGACTTTCAACATTTTCCGAAAATTACTGACAGGGTTATTGGACGCTCTAGAGACCAAAGTTATCATGACTTTATACACTATGATTATGGTCATGAGACGATGGGGCCTAAAGTTGTGGTCTTTGATTACTTCTAAAAATCTTTAACAGCTAAATTCGTGATAATTACTCAATGGGCTTTTATACTCTTAATCGGATTTTAGTGTGTTGTATATGTTTTCGTTATCGACAAAAGAAAACATTCACAACCTTGTTGACTGTCTACCAACTTATCTTTCGACTAATCATAATAAGTAACCTTGCTAAAATTTAATGTTGAGTTATTGTCCCTGACACCGGGACCTTTAATGCGATCTATGGGTAGCTGTGTAGAGATTCTTTTTAAAAGCTTATCAGGAATGTTAGGCCAGTCGTAAAGAGGAGCCGTATCGAAATTCTGAGGTGCTCATTAATGTTTTCATTCTGTTGAACATTTGACAGTGCGATTCCCAAAAAAAAGTAGTGGTGATTTGTACCTGTAATTGAACTAAATTTATGCCTACTAAAACCACATATCATAATTGGGATGCCTGATACTATTTGATATATTTCTTACAACACGTAATTGGTTGTTTATTACCAATAACACAGATATTGTTTGTCTCCGTGCCTACCAAAGCATGGCCAAGAGAGTGAGTTGTTTCTCACTGTCTCTTACCCGGAAAATTTAAACACAGCACTTTAAGATGATGCTGGTGTGCTTATATTTGTAATTGCTTCTACTTCTACTTTTTTCATGATGTACTCCGTCTGTTTATAGGTACCCCACCCTCACCTCTTTTTGCATGACTAACTTTTTAACTGTTTGGCCCACAATCAAAGGATCGGGATAGTCAATATTCTTCAATATTTTTATTAGAGTATTACTAGTAGTCCAGGAAACCGAAATGAAATGGGGCTTAACGTATTTCTGCACCGATTGGGCTAACGCATATGGGTGTATGCCATGCCATGCAGTGTGCTATAAGGGATATTTTGCACGGACCGTGGCGCTACGGACTACTCTTATTTTCGAATTTCAACTGCCAAGGGATCTTTTACATGCTCGCCAACGTGTACACGAAACCTTGAGTTTTGTTCTATCCGTACTTCTAGACGCCGTACTTGTCAGATCCCCAACCTGCATCACTAACCGACGAAACCACGCTGGAAAATCCCACGGATGAACTTAATCTGCCAACACCGGGATCGAACCCGAACCTTCTGGTTAGTGAGCCAGTGCATTATTCACTGAGTGACAGTGGCTTCCCTCCGTAGACCACCCTAGTAAATCTCTCATTGGTGTTTTAATGTTAAATCCATGCCATGGCTTGGCCTATAGCAATTCCTATACGCCCACATTGTCGTCACCATTCTTCTCCGCCCATCCCCTTTCCCGATTGATTTCAAATTTATCCAGTAGTTTTGTTCATGAGCCTTTGTTCGTGAGTCTTTTGATTTTCAACAATTTCCGATATTTACAGCAATAGTTATGGCCCTAGATCACATTGGAAAATCTTCTAGGCGCTACAGTTACCATCCGATTGACTAACATATGGTTCAATTTTATTTCAATATTTCGCTTGCGCGTAGGGGTTTTTAGCAGTGGGAGGAAACCGGAGGACCCGGTTGGACAGACGACCCCACTCCTTGTCACGTACAACCGGGGAATCGAAACCCCGCCAGCTGACTCAATGAAAGATTTTATGATACTGCGGGCACACACTAACCATTCGACCATCCACCCCCACCCCCACCGACAAAAGAAATAAAATAAGCAACAATGGGAGGCCGTATGGGCGACTTAGCTGCCGTGGGCTTATGTTTCATTGCAAGAGCCCAACGTGTCATTATTATCTGTTAAAAAAATACTGAGGGGGTTGGGGCGAGGTAAGCATTGCGCCTGGTCAAAGGATTGTAAATTCAAACAGGCTTTTCTGATTTTAAACCGAAAAGTTAACATGCAAAAGGCGCAATAAGGGGGAAATTGCTAAAAAATATGCGATCTACATTCATAAAATCATTGAACACAGTAATAGTCTTAATCTTCATGATATGGAGGCAGACCACATATTACACATGAAATCATTTTATGTACATGACTGCAAAAAAGTATCACAGACACTCGATTTTGTGTAATTGCTTTTCCCATTATTACCGTAAGAGTTATGGCCCTTGATCGCGTTTTAAAATGTGTGATCCCTCTAGTGACTGGCTAACGTCATTATCCGATTAATTTGAAATTTATACATAGTGTGTATGATCATGAGACGATTTTCAACGATGTTCGATAGCTTGAACGACTGATGTGGTCTTCTGATTACTGGTTCGTATTATAAAAATATTAAAAATAAGAAGAACAAAAAGTCAATCGAATTTAATTTTTTCAGATAAATTACTTAATAGGATGTTACTTCTGATCAGGGTTTAATGTTTTGTAAATGCTCACAGCCTTTGCGGTCTGCTTGGAGGATTTGGGTGTTTTGGGCGTATAATGTAGCGTTGCATGGTAACCTATATTCAAACAGATAGTTTCAACAACAGTTCATTGTATTGTAGCGTGTCCTGTGATTGGACTTAATTGTGACATACATATCAAATCAATACCATGCTATCCGCTATTAGTCCTAACACGGGAAAGGGTGTTACATTTCACTGACCATGTCCAGATTGTATCGATCATGTACCGGAAGCGGTTGGTATTACTGTAATCTGTAGATCGCTAAGTTCCCTGGTGGTCTCGCGATAATTGCTATCCACCAAAGAATTACATTTGGGAATCGGAAATGTTGACAAAGTAACCCATGCTATTCAATATTCAGTAAAGACTAATAGCTGTCACGGTTCTTACGCTTGATTCTAAATTATTCTGTATAAAATGAGTTATGACTATGGGTACTTATATGCACAAATAGTATTATATACAGTATCTATATATTCTAACCATAGTTGGGGCAGCGGGGCAAAATTACCCCCTCACATTAACCAAATGGAAACTACCTTATGCTAGTCGCAATATGATACAAGTATAGTGTTAACGAGGTGTTAACCCCCATTATATTTACCAAAAGAAAAGTACACCGGCTATGCGACCTTTCCAAATAAATCAGAAGCGACTCGGGTTTTTAAGAAAGAACTGAAAATACGTTTCTCGTTCAAGACAACCTAGAACTAAGTTCAATCCATAGACATACGTACACGTAGTTTTTACTACAGAAATGTATTGAACGCAAGTGTGTAAACTATACTTGCGCATCTCCTCCATAATTATGGTTTTATATAGTCTTACACGGTGCATGCTTCCTGCGTTGATATCCTGATACCACTTCTTATATTAGAATTTTATTTTATTTATTATATTTTTTTTTTTACTTTATTCGACATTTTGTAATCGATTCTGGTCATGTTCGTGAGGGTCTTTTCAAGGGTATACTTGGATATTATGCGGGCCTAAAGGGTTAACATAGAAGGTCAAAGAGGTTAGGTTTTAGGACTGGATAATGATGTCACAATGAGGCTTCTTACTACACTAAACAATCTGTAAGTGCGAAATAGTTCGATGAAATGTGTGTTGATTTTAATGTCTTCACTACCTTTTTTAAAAGTTTGCTTGTGGACTTTCTATTGACAGAAAGCTAAATACATTTGATGGCCATTGTATTAGCTTGTCCGAATATTGTATAAATTCTCGCACGTAGATGAACTGTACATAACAATGCGGGGGGAAACAAGATTATATCCCAATAGAGTAGAACCCATAGTACCTCATTTTATTTAAACAACGTACAGAAGGTTTTGAAATCATATAAGAATTGAATGTTTATATATTAATTTTCTTTTCTCTATGTCATACATCTTGGCGCTTGTCGTACACAATTTACTAGCCAAGAAATCCAATCATAATATTGAGTACTAGATTGGAATGTATGGCGTTCATGATAATTGGACTTACGGGGGATCCCCACTGATATTTATCGAATGAAATTCGGTATGAATCGAATGGTATCTCACTCGTTCTGTTTTGCGATGAATGTTGTTTTTCCATTCGTCTATCAGGAATTTTGGATTGTGGTGTTTAACTCGATGTGTGATAATTTCCAGTGTGAAAATAAACTTTTCGTTCGACCACCACTGAGCCTCACGTCGGTCGATTCAGTGGTTCATTCAGCCACAGATCACTAATGATTTCCTCATTGACTTTAATGTTAATTCTCGTCTCTTAGACCGGCTCTAAAATCGACATTTTGTAACGAAGGTGACCATCGTACATAGCAATGGACACCCAAAAAGCCGCAACATCCATAATCAAAGACCACTTTTAAGATCAATGAACTACTAATTTTAAGAAGATTGAATTTTAAGTCAGTTCAAATATTTACGATAATAAGGTTCGAATCACCAAAGCAATGATGA